CCTGCCACAATGCCTGGCTATCTTTTTGTTGCAGCCATCATTGTTGTTTTGGCGGGCCTGGGCTAGATTTGAACCCTCCACCTTAGGTGTATGTGGCTGGCGCCTTAGCCACTTGAGCCACAGGCGCCGAGCCAGAATATGTAATTTAGATTTTTGAATAGGAATAGATGAAGTAGCCAAATTTTTTTCAATAGTCCAGTTAAAATACACGATAGCATGTATTTAAAAGCGAATCTTTGGAAGAAGGATTGGAAAATCCTGGATAAAGTCACATACCATATACCACAAAGGCATGCTCTGCTCAGTACAAGTGGGAGAGGTAGTATGTACTGCTTCTACAAGGAGGTCCAAGATTCTTACATAGAAGTTTCTTTGGAAATCCTATTATGATCTAGGTAGTTATAGGCTCCAAGAAATTCCTAGCCTTTCTAGAAATTTCTGTTTGCTGCCTTAGTGTTGAGTTAAATGTCATCATATTCTGTTTGACACAGCATACTCCACTGGTCCCTGTTAGTATCCATTTTTCTCAGGGTATGGTGTATCTCCTGGGCTTCTCCTTCTCCCATTCTTTTAATCCATTCTTTTCCACTTGGAGGGCATTGAAACTTAGAAGGCGCTCTGATGTATCCTGGAAGGGCCTCAATTCTTTTCTTACCAGGCAAGCTACACACTGTATAGTCCTTTTGTAACACTCTAGCAAGTAGGCAGTTAACTACATACAGCAGATCACTGTGTTCAGGTGCTTTCAGTTTCTGCCGCTCAACAAGTAGACAATTTAGGCTCGGCGCCTATAGCTCATCCGGCTAAGGCATCAGCCACATACACCTAAGGTGGCGGGTTTGAATCCCCAGCCCGGACCTGCCAAACAACGGCTGCAACCAAAAAATATCCGGGCGCTGTGGCGGGCGCCTGTAGTCCCAGCTACTTGGGAGGCTGAGGCAGGAGACTCACTTGAGCCCAGGAGTTGGAGGATGTTGTGAGCTGTAATGTCACGGCACTCTACCCAGGGGGACAGCTTGAGGCTCTGTCTCAAAAAAAAAAAAAAAAAAAAAAGAAATCACTATTGGCTTGGTGCCCCTGCTCAGTGGTTATGGTGCCAGCCACATACATGGGGGCTGGTAGGTTGGAACCCAGCCAGGCCTGCTAAACAACAACGACAACTGCAACAAGAACAACAACAACAAAAATAGCTGGGGGTTGTGGCAGGTACCTGTAGTCCCAGCTACTTGGGAGGCTGAGCCATGAGAATCCCTTAAGCCCAAGATTTTGAGGTGGCTGTGAGCTATGATACCACAGCACTCTACCAAGGTCGATAAAGTGAGACTGTGTCTCTAAAAAAAAAAAAAAAGAAAAATTATTATTATTGTGTTTTAGGTATGATAATGGCTTATTCCAAACAAAAAGGCAAAAAAAATTTTCATTTCTTAGAGATACACACCAAAGTATATTTAGATAGATCATGGTGTTTGGGATTTGCTCAAAAATAATTTCGCAGGGCCAGGCCCGGTGGCTCAGGCCTGTAATCCCAGCACTCTGGGAGGCCAATGTGGGTGGATTATCTGAGCTCACAGGTTCCAGATCAGCCTGAGCCTAGAGCAGGACCTCATCTCTAAAAATAGTCGGGAATTGTGGTGCATGCCTGTAGTCCCAGCTACTCGGGAGGCTGAGGCAAGAGAATTGCTTAAGCCCAAGAGTTTGAGGTTACTGTGAGCTATGACACCACAGCACTCTACCAAGGGCAACAAAGTGAGACTCTGTCTCAAAAAAAACAGAATAAAATCACTCCAAGCTAATAAATTCAGTAACTTGAAAGAAATGGACCACATCCTCAAAAGCCAAAAAACCGAAACCTTATAAAAAGATAAACTGAATAATCTTATAACCATTAAATTAAATTACTTTTCTTTTTTTTTTTTTTTGAGACAGAGTCTTACTTTGTCACCCTTAGTAGAATGCCCGTGGCATTACAGCTCACAGCAACCTCCAGCTCTTGGGCTTAGGTGAATCTCTTGCCTCAGCTTCCCAAGTAGCAGGGACTACAGGCGCCCACCACAACACCCGGCTATTTTCTTGTCCCAGTTTGGCCAGGGCTGGGTTTGAACCCAGTCACTGAGCCACAGGCGCCGCCCTACATT